AATCTACGAAAGTTCTATCGCTTCGCGAAAATACATGCCGTTCCGATAGTAAACAATGTATTCGTGTAAAATTAACACTGGTGGCGCTGTACACATTACGTCATTTCTATTTTAACTTTACGACCTCGATCATGCATATCAATACTTTCAGAATTGTTTGTCAAATGTAAAACGTGTATTTGAGTATTTTGAAAATTTTGTTGAAAAAAATAAATAAAGTTAAGAGTTTTAACACTGAAATAAAGCTATAGAATTTTATTTTTCAAAAAATGTTAGTATATATATTACCCCATTTTTAAGATTTAATTTGAGCACTAGAGATCTGCTCAGAGTGCACCAGAGAGCATGATCTAGGCCTAAAAATTTCCGGGGCCCTAGGCGGGCCTTCGACCCATGCCTAAATTGTTTCGTTCCTGTGCAAATCTTCATCATCCACAGCCAAACTTATACTTTGCATGTATGGGAAGGTGGAGTGTTAAGAGTGTTAAGAAGTACCCCCTTAGTCCACGTCCACCCCATTAGTCAGCCCTCACCAGTGAAAATAAGCACAAAAGATCAAGGTCAAACAGACTGAATTTACCTAATATCGCCATAATTTGCGTGAGCAATAATTGTTGTATTTGAATGGACGCTAAATAAATAAATGAAAAAAAAAAAATTAAATGAGCGGTCCCACTTCATCGGGCATTTACCCCCATCCCATCACTCACCTTGGGATGCCCTTATCATCTCCAGAGGCAAATTGGCTTCAGATTTAGGATGGAGTCAAAATGTTTAAAAATAAATAAATAAATACAAAAGAGAGAGTGTCGGAAAAAATATGATTCCTAGAATGTCGAGAAATGAGATTTCCCGACTTTTGTGGTGTATTTTAATGACATTTAAGATTTTTTAAGTTCAGAGATTTTCCCTCCCTTGAAAACAGTCATGTCAACTTTGCCATTCTTATTACAGTAAACAGGCCTATGAGTAGTTGCATACGTAGGCCTATTTTGTTTTCCATGAACCAATGAACCCCAATTAGGACGGTGGTGGGAAAATGTTGATTCCTATATGTCGGAAAACGGGTTTTCTCAACTTCTGAAATTTTGGTTTCCCTCTCTTGACGTTTTTTAATGAATCGATGAACCCTAAAGAGGAACCGGGGAGAGGCGGAATCATGTTAGCCCCTGGAAAATTTTGATTCCTAGATTGCGGGAAGTGAGCTTTTCAGACTTCTGAAGCTGTCTCTTATACACATCTAGATGTGTATAAGAGACAGACTAAAAATAATTGTTAATAAACTAATGTTA